CGGGGCCGGTGGAGCGGCCCCCGGGGGCTGCCGCCGCCCCGCTCTCACCCGGGACGCTTTTCCAGGAGGTCCTTGGCAAGGTGACACTCGTGTGCAGGGAACCTGCCCTCCCTGCAGCGCGGCGCCCGCGCTTCCCTCGCCCTTAAGAGAGATCGAAAACGCGCTTTTAGCCTGACCGCCCCCCCCCGCCCCATGCAGCACCAAAATGCCCGGGAGCCCTCCCTCTCGGGCTCGCCGTTTCCTAAGCTACGTTTCCCCCCTCGCACCCGGTAGTGGGTTCAGCGCGCGGGCTAAACCCCTGCTGCGCAAAGGTGCCGAAAAAAACATGTCGGAGGACGGCAACAGATATGTGTTTCGAGTGAAATGCCGCACCGACATTTTGTAGGAGAGAGTTTCGCAAGCACTGGCCGTAAAAGTTAAACATAGCTTCTGAGATTATTCCAGCTTCGTTTTATTTTGAAAAGTTAAGAATCAACTGGCTAGAACTGCCTCGGAAATTAACTCAGCTTTATAAATCTAGTATCTACTGCTCCTCCAGGCACTACACCTATACGTTCACGCGACTGTGAAATGTGGGCAGACAGGCCCACTGTGACTGCTAGCTGTGTACCTGCGGGGTCTGCTGGGCAAGGCTATCGCACCCACATGGTTCTGCTCGTAAGGGTCAGTGAATATATCGTGAGAATCAGTGAATACACTTCTTTTCATGGGAGAGGAGAGGAAAAATACTAATAGATGTATGGAGCAGAAGACGAGGTATGACGAAAGGGTAATCCTTTTTGAAAAGGTGACTCGTTACTTTTTATTGCATGTTTATTGCGAGATGAGCATTAAAGTTCTCGGTTTTGAGTCATCCTATCTCAGTTGGTTAAAATAAAGCCAAGGGTTGCTAAGACTAAAACCTCTCTGTTGCGGCCGTCGTAGACTTTCGCCTTTCCAGAAAGGCGAGAGGAACCGCTGCGCCGCGCCGCTTCGACAGCAGCCGAGCGCAGCCGTCGGGG